TCACCAAAAAAAAAAAAAAAAAAAAAAGCATATGAGATCAAATTGGTCCCTGATGCTACCGGCCGGTATCACCCACCTGCGTTCATGTTGGCCACCGGTCGCCCTGCGGACCTACTTCGGGTGACCACGAGGGACCGTGTCGGCTCGTTTTTGTTTTTAGATTGTCCTCTACTTGGGCTCGCCAGATCAATCGGATATCGAGCCGAATTGCTTGCTTAGCCCTTAGACTGACAGGTGTCGGCTCCGATACCAACCTCACGCCCAGCGCGACTTCCTGATCGCAGTGAGAGCAGGCCCGAGAGTTGCGAAAGGGGGTGTTCCGAGGATTTAGGGAAAGCGGGTCGAGTCCAAAGAACTGGGATCACCTGTGTCAGGGTTCGAAGGACGAAGATGCAAAGACACTCAGATGAAGAAGGGGCTTTCTCAGTTTGCAGCTCAGGATGGCCAGGCTGGCAGTCGCACTCATCAGAAGATAGATTGTCACATACTGACAATGCTTTACCGATCTGCAGGCGGCGAACGACGGCCATAACCGCCAGCACTACCGCATCAGATTCGCCCTCCTCAGCAGACAACACATGGCCACCGCCACCAACATCCACCTCCATCGCCGACCTTGTGCCCCTGCTAGATGTGGATGTCGCCCGCCTGCCTTCGCCACCAGGGAACGTGTCACACGCCACTCATGCAATTGGGATTCGGCAGGCGAAACACAACCACGATCCGCACCCGTGTCCCACGGACATGGGACAACGATGGGCGGACATCAGCGGCACGGCTCCATATACACATATGAAACTGACTGCGGGGTACCATTTAGGACTCATCCTAAAAGTGGTACTTTTAGGATTCTTCTTGCCAAGAAGCCACGAATCCTAAAAAACTTTTAGGACTTCTCCTATTTTCTTGAGGATTCTTTTAGTAGTGTCTAACGAGACCCTTAGACTTGGTAGCGAGGACAGGACAGCTAAGATTGGTTTCAGAGAGGTGATAGCGGCGATCGGAATGTAGGGTTTGGTAGAAGTGAGGTGAAAAGTGATTCATGAATTTTCACAATTTCATCATAGCTTCTTTCGGGAAGCTGGGTAATGGGTTCGGTATTCTTAAGAGTATCATCAAAAGCTCAATGTAATCTTATAAGGCAGGCTGGGCCTGGTTCCCAACATGTGCTGCTCCCTGCAAGCAAAAAAAAAAAAAAAAAAAGGAGAAGATCCTAGTAAAGAAAAAAGAAAAAAAAAAGAAAAAAAGATTGGAGCTTGTGAAAAAAAAAAAGGGGTATTAACTTAAGTAGAATCACAAAAACGAGTTCTAATTGCATTATGGGGCAAGATACAGTCTGCAATGATTGCACTTCGGGCACCCTACCTGGCCAGAAAGCTGGGTTCTATAAATTGCCCGAGCTGCAATTTGAAACTGTATCTTGGCCCGTAGTGCAATTATAACTCATTCCAGGACACCCACGACCTACTGCTCCAGGTGATCACTGTGGACTGAATAACTGGCCTCTACAACACCATGGACTTGGGGGGGGGG